CCCTCATAAGTGATTTACTATAGCATTACGGTAAGTATCATCTTGAATTATAGTAACCCATGTATCGTAAATGTGTATTGTCATTATCGTAAATTGGTATAAACATTATCGTAAATCAAGGTGGCCATAGAATAAGTTATTCTGTGGCCAGCTGTAGAATAAATTATAGTAACCCATATATATAAGATACTCCACATCAAGGGAATATATACTAAACTAGGTTCATCAACCAATAATGTCAAAACAATGGAAGTGAGAACTAGAAAACAGGAGGAATGATAAACTTATCCCGATATCAATCAAATAGGATCAACAAAACAACAGTAGTATAAAATCAAACAAAGGAAATGATCAAACAAAAAGGTAATTGCATGAAGCAAAGTCAAAGACATGAAAGTAGAACAATCGTCATAAAATAAGAGTAACAAACCTCACACCATATGAAGCAAATAGTTTTTTTCTCAAACACGTAGGAGAGCTGCGTGTCATTTCATCCTATGTTAATTATGAGCGAATAGTAATGGAAGAACAAAGCAAATTAATTAAACATGAAAAGGTGCATGAAACTAATTAACATGAGTGTAACTCAAGAATTTGATATGGATGTGCCAAGATCACGAAACTTATAGGATGTTAAAAAGGCAAAACTATAGTATAACGGCACTTATACTTGCTTGCAATAGCAGAATGCGCTCATATGTTTTCCTACTGAAATTACCAAGTCCTTCATAAATTGTTGGCTTAGACTAGGATTATTCTACATCAGCTAAGCTGTACTGTTTGCTTGCAAGTTGCAATTTGGGCCCCGATAAGTGTGTGTATGCGCGCACGCTCCACAATAAATGGAAGACAAAGATAGAATCATGTTGTAATAATATCCTTTTTTGAAGTGGGATTCAGATAAATTCTTAATGTTTTTTGGGGCGTAACCCTCTTAGCGACGTGCCATGTCGGAACCCGAGTATGGTGTTAAATGAGCAAGGGCCGGGTCGTCACCCCCGTGACGCGCCATGTCGCGATCTGGACACGGTGACAAGTGAGCAAGGATCAGGTCGTCGCATCCTTAGGGCGCGCCACATCGGTGCCCGGGTGTGGTGCAAAATGAGCAAGGGTCTTCACACCTACCTCGGCGGATGCAAAGGGTAAGGAAGCTAGTCGAGCCAACTAGGATCCGCTTAGGTAGCTAGAATGTAGGGTCCCTTACAGATAAGTTAAGAGAGTTAGTGGACACAGTGGTTAGGAGGCGTGTAAATATCTTATGCGTTCAAGAGACTAAACGGAAGGGGCAGAAGGCGAAGGAGGTGGACAATACCGGCTTCAAGCTCTGGTACACAGGGACAACTTCAAATAAAAATAGAGTAGGAGTTTTGATTGATAAGAGCCTCAAGGATGGTGTGGTGGAGGTGAGAAGGCAAGGGGATAGGATCATCTTAGTTAAAATTGTCATTAGTGATATGGTCTTAAACGTAATTAGTGCGTATGCCCCCCAAGTAGGTCATGATGAGAGTGCTAAGCGGCTTTTCTAGGAAGACTTAGATCGCTTGGTTAGAGCTGTCCCTAGTAGCGAGAAGCTCTTTATAGGAGATGATCTTAATGGCCATATAGGTACATCAAGTGCAGGTTTTGAGGCGGTTTATGGGGGTTTCAGATATGGTAGTAGGAACTAGGAGGGAGAGGAAGTCTTAGACTTCGTCATAGCTTTTGATATGATGATAGCTAACACTTTCTTCCGTAAGAGACAATCCCATTTAATGACCTATAATAGTAGCCAGTACTCTAGTCAAATCGACTTTGTTCTTACAAGAAGTAGGGATAAACGAACATACATGGACTATAAGGTGATATCTGAAAAATGTGTGGTCGCTCAACACAAGTTGGTGGTGGCTGACTTCCGCTTTCTGGTGCAAGCTCGTGGGAACAAACAAGCTAGGGTTGCTAGAACGAAGTGGTGAAAATTAGAAGGGGAGGCATCAAAGGTCTTTAAGGAAAAGGTCATTGAAGAGGGGCCTTGGAATGATGAAGGCGATGCAAACAGCATGTGGGAGAAGATGGCAACATGCGTTCAGAATGTTGCTTCAGAGGTGCTTAGAGTGACCAAAGGGAGCGGATGCGACTCGAAAGACACTTGGTGGTGGAATGAAGATGTGCAAATGGCTATTAAGGAAAAGAAGGAGTGCTATAAGCGCTTGTATCATGACAGGTGTGCAAACAACATAGAGAAGTACAAGATGGCAAAGAAGACTGCAAAACGAGCAGTGAGTGAGGCAAAGGGGTGGGCCTATGAGGACCTTTACAGACGTTTGAGTACAAAGGAAGAAGAGAAGGACATTTATAGGATGGCTAGGGCTCGCAATAGGAAGACAAGGGACTTCAACCAAGTCAAGTGCATAAAGGATGAGAGGGAGCAGCTCTTGGTGAAGGAGGATGAGATCAGACATACATGGCAAGAGTATTTTGATAAATTGTTCAATGGTGAGAATGAGAACACCACCGTTCAGCTGGACGACTCGTTTGATGACACTAACAGGCGCTTTGTGTGGAGGATTCAAGAATCGGAGGTCAGAGAAGCCTTGAAAATGATAAATGGGGCAAAGCGATGGGCCCTGATGGTATCCCAATCAAGGTGTGGAGATGTCTCGGGGATATAGCTATAGTATGGCTAATCAAGATGTTCAACAATATCTTTCGATCGAACAAGATACCTGGAGAGTGGAGAAGAAGCATATTGGTACCAATCTATAAGAACAAGGAAGATATCCAAAGTTGTACTCATTATCGAGGAATTAAGTTGATGAACCACACTATGAAGTTATGGGAGAGAGTTATCGAGCAGCGCCTGCGAGGAACGACGCGGATATCAACAAACCAATTTGGTTTCATGCCCGAAAGGTCAACCATAGAAGCAATCTTCTTAATAAGACAGGTTATGGAGCGGTTTAGAGAGTAGAAAAAGGACATCCACTTGGTTTTCATTGACTTGGAGAAGGCTTATGACAAGATACCAAGAAATATTATGTGGTGGTCTTTGGAAAAACATAAAGTTCCACCAAAGTGCGTGACCCTCATCAAGGACATGTACAACAATATTGTGACTAGCGTTCGAACAAACGATGGTAACACAAATTACTTCTCGATTAAAATTGGATTTCATCAAGAGTCAGCCTTAAGCCCGTATCTCTTTGCCTTGGTAATGGATGAGGTTACCAGGAACATATAATGGGATATCCCTTGGTGTATGTTGTTCGCTGATGATGTAGTGTTAGTGGCCGAAAGTCAGGTGGGAGTAAATAGGAAACTAGAGTTATGGCGGCAGACCCTTGAGTCTAAAGGTTTTAGATTGAGCAGAACTAAAACCGAATACATGAGATGCGACTTTGGCGGAGTTGTATAGGAGAAGGAAGATGTGAGTTTGGAAGGTCAAGTAGTGACTAAGAAGGATACCTTTTGGTATCTGGGATCGATGCTACAGAGGGATGGAGATATTGATGCGGACGTTGGCCATATAATCAAAGCAGGGTGGATCAAGTGGCGACAAGCTTCTGATATTCTCTGTGATAAGAGGGTACCACAAAAGCTAAAAGGTAAGTTCTATAGAATGGCGATTAGACCGGCTATGTTGTATGGAGCAGAATGTTGGCCTACAAAGATTCGACATGTTCAACAAATGAGTGTTGCAGAAATGAGTATGTTATGATGGATTTACGGTCACACAAGAATGGACTGAGTTCGGAACGATGATATACGTGATCGCCTAGAGGTAGCACCAATTGAAGAAAAGCTTGTCCAACATCGGATGAGGTGTTTTGGCCATGTCCAAAGGAGATCTCCAGACACACCAGTGCATTGTGGAGTCCTAAGCCAAGCTAATAATACGAGGAGAGGTAGAGAAAGACCGAAATTGGTATGGGGGAGACAATAAAAAGATATTTAAAAGCTTGTGATATACCTAGAGATCTATGTTTGAATAGAAGTACTTGGAAAACAGTTATTGAAGTGCCTGAACTATGATTTGAGGCCCTTGATGGGTTTCAACTCTAGCCTACCCCAACTTGCTTGGGACTGAAATGCTATGTTGTTGTTGTTGTTGTTGTTGAAGTGGGATTCAGATATTCTAAATCAGTTGCACAAGTGGGGGGAAACAGTTCGATCTTTACAAATCATCTCAGCTTGCTGGCTCTCATCCCTCTTGGCCTGATCAAAGCTATTGAAAATTCTGATTCTTTTAGACACCAGTATGATTTGATCGTGCATATTGACGATTGCTAAAAGAGACATCTTGTGCCGGCGTGCGCCACAGCATAGGCCAATTCTTCTATACTCTAGTGTCTAGGCTACTTGGTTATACTCAAGTAGTGCGGATGATCCAGAAGCTAGCGCAACTGCCAGCTAACTAGGCCAAAATGAGCACTATATAAGAAAAAGGGTGTCCTCTCAAGTCTCAAGCCTCCCCTTGCAATCCCCACCATGAAATCAGAGAACATTTTCAAAGCAAAGAAACCCAGAGAGAGAGAGAGAGATGAGGAGAATCGCACTTGCCGGTCGATCAACGGTGATGACAAGAACACATCGCAATCGCTTGCAAGTTGCAACGCCCGAACTCAGCAAGAAAAGGCACAGATGATTTTTTTTTTCTTTTGAAAGGAAAGCACAGATGATTTGGGACACAAGAAAAGACCACAAAAGCACAGATATATTACCACACACTACCATACACACTCGTCTTGCTCTCGTTCTATCTTTTTTTAAGTGTTTTTTTTTCTTTTGAAGTGTGCTCGATCTCGTTCTATCCTCTCCGGCATATGGTATGCAGCAGATTATGAGCCGGATTGGAGCCAGCAATTCGCTCATACGCGCACACAGATTAGGCGCACACAGTACATACAATACAAGGTATGCTCATGTCATGCAGAGAGGGGGCACGCGTCACGCTGAGCGGCGGCGATCGATCGGGTATCAGGTTCACGACTTGCTTCACATACCTTGCTGTGCGGGTGGTGATCTTAGAGCAGCGTCGGCGGCGAGAACACCGTGTAGTTGCTCTCCAGCAGCTGCGACCCGAAGCCATCCTCGTCCTCGTCCTCCTCGTAGTAGTCCCCGCCGTGCGGCGCGGCCTTGGCCGCGGCGTCGGGCAGGTGGTCCGCCGCAGGGCTGGGGATGGCGACGATGGTTTCGGACGACGCTGCGCCCCCGGGGCTGAGCCCCTGGGCGCCGGCGCAGTCAAGGTCGTGCGCCGCCACGGTGGCGTCGGAGGCGCCGGCGAGGTCCTCGGGGCTGTACTTGGAGGGGTCGGCGTCGCGGCCGGTGAGCTCCTGGACGAGGGCGCGGAAACCAGCGGCGCTAGTCTTGACGCGCATGGGGTTGGAGATGTACACCACCTTGATGGGCTTCTTGCCCCCGCCCTTGCCGCGGCCGCCCTTGTGCTTCCTCGACGAGGCGCCGCACCTCCCGCTCCCAGGAGCATTGCCTCTGGGACTGTGCTGCTGCCGCTGGCGCCGCTGCTCGTGGTCCATCGATCAGCTCAGCTCTAGTGGACAAGCAGCGATCCGGGGAGGAGTTGGAAGCGGGTGTTGGGAATGCGAAGGTGGAGGCGACGGCTGCTGCGACGTCTGGCTCCGGCCATGTAAGGACAAACTGACTGTTCGCTTGTCGTAAACGATTGTAAATTTTAATCTGTTTTTCTTTTACACAAAACCTGTCAACAAATAAATAATTCACGATCGTTTACGGCCTCGACAGGCTGAAACAGGCGTTGAGGAGAACGGGGGAATTTTTAGCTGGGCGGTGGAGGTGGGCGCGGGCGCCGTGGAGTGGAGTAATGGATCGGACTCGGAGGCCAGAGCTTGGAGGAGAGCGGGGAGCCTCCCCGTTTTGGGGAGAGAGATGGGGCGCCGGGGCAGGCATGTGATCTCTGGTCGTCTGGACGAGAGCTATTGGCTATGTCCACCGACACAATGACTTTAAGCTTCCAAGAAAACAATACTAATCCAATGGCTTTTGTTTGGATCAGTCATATCATTGATATCGACCTTGTGAGGTTGTACTTAGGGGTGTTTGTTTAGGAGGTATCATGTGAGGGTGTTGCATGAGATATTCGTATACTAATAAAAAAATAAATTATAGAATCCGTCGGTACTCCACGAAAAGAATTTATTAAGCTTAATTAATCCGTCATTAGCATATATTTACTGTAGCACCACATTGTCAAATCATGGGCTAATTAGGCTTAAAAGATTCGTCTTGCAAATTAGTCGTAAATTATGCAATTAGTTTCGTAATTAGTCTATATTTAATACTCAATGCATATGTCTAAACATCCGATGAGACAACGACTAAAGTTTAGGAGGAGGAACAAACACCCCCTTATATAAAGACAAAGTTAAAGCTTGAGTTTGTCCCTTGCTACTGTATCCGAAGAGCTGGAGCTAAGAACCGGAGATGCTACAAAACATGGCTTTTTTGGGCTAGTTTATTTCGAAGGAGAGAGACACGGTTTTGTGTGAATAGTGTTGTTACAGTTGCTAATGTAGGATAAGAGAATCCCGAGCCACCGAAAGATGTGCCAAACAAGCCCTAAATGTTCAACCTGGTTCACTCTGCAAATAAGAATAGAAGGTAGCAATATTTTTTGATTGAATGGGTAACTGGATATTATAAGAACCAAGCTTTGCTTGGTACAATACATATTATTCTAGAAAAATATGAAGTTGAATCTTTTAGATTTTTATGACTACTAAGTACTTTTAAAATATTCACATTTAAATCATTTCATATAAATTTGGGCCGAGAAGTACTTTATATATTAAGTAGAGAAAATATTGTCAAAGCACTTTATTCCAAAAAATATTTTATTTATAGCCATTCTCAAATAGTTTAGCATCATCGAAGGACCATATGCAGATGCCCTCTATTAAACCTATCTGGGTTATAGAATTTATTCGTAAGTTGTGCGTTGCCTTGGCCATAACTTTTCAGCTTTTGGTAGTTTTGATGCATGCTTGTTGCGCTTGACTGAGGCTACTAATGAAGGGAAGAAGTATTACTGGCATCGCTGCTAAAAATTTCCACCGGTAAAAGTAAAAATCTTTGTATGACTGAGGAAATGTATTTTCATGTTGTATGGAGATACAGACAAATATGCTTTTCAAATTAAAGGAATATTAGGGAAAGGAATATCTCTATTTCAAATTAGAGTACACCACAAAATCCCTTTTACCAAGAATGTGGTGGTTGTAAGTTTAGAGAAAATCAAGAATGGTTATATGCACAAATTTAAAAGAGCGAAATGCAGTGATGGTCCTTGATTTTTTCTCTGATTTAATCTAGGACTGTAAACTAGCTCTCAAAGTGAGGATTTGGGTTCTTACATTTTCCAAGTACGTGATCCAACATGGTTTTACTTTAGGTACAGTTATATAAACTAGGGTTATGTTTGTTCATGCTTTTGAAGCAGCTGCAGCGGCTGCCGCTGCTTATTTTCTACAGTGAATAGTAGATGCATGCGCAAGCTTATTGCAGTAGCAACCACAGTGCTGCTGCAACAAGCAGTTTTGACAAGGTTGACCACTTTTTTTGGAGTAAACCAATTGAAAAATAAAATAGGGTCAGATTTGTAGATCTAGATGAGAATATGAGAAAGTCTTAAGGACCTCCCATGTATTTCGCTACATTAAAAAAAATATGGCTGCGATTTTATGGAGACACCACACAATCTCTACAACTAAAAAGCAGCAAAGGTTTTCGTGCACCCGGCTACTTTCACCGCGTGCCTGCGATCCATGACTCGGCAGGGAAACAACCGCGTGCCTGCGAACAGCAAATCGCCCAGCAAAACACCGAGTAGTCCATTCTTTCCAAAACAAACCGGCACCCATAACGTTTGTGAGAAAACCACGTCTAGCCAAAAAAAGGAAACAAACAACCAGGGAAACACCCCACAATGCGTTCCAAAAAATAAGCCGGCGCCCTGAATACACGTCTCGCAGAAAAAGGAAGCAAACAATCAGCACCTGGTCTCATGCGATCCCTATTAGCCCAGCACACGTGGAAATAAAACTATCGTCGCCGTGACCACTCGACTTAGATGTCGACATCGATCTCCTCCAAGCCGCCACCGCCGCGAAGTCTGGTGCCGTCACCGTGGCACCGCGATGTCAGCTGTGATCTGCTACCCCAATCCTCCGACGCCCCGTGGCCACTTGACATCAACAGATCGCCCCATGGCCACTTGACGTCTGCAGCGATCTGCTACTCCAAGCCGCCGACACCTGTCAGCCGCCGCGGCCACCTGACATCGACGGTAATCTGCTTCTCCTTACCTCGCCGCCTCCCTCGCGATCTGCTTCCCGGTCACACGACGCCTGTCTGGTGCCATCACCGTGGCCACCTAACATCGACGGTAATCTGCTTATCCTTCCCTCCGCCTCCCTCTCGATTTGTTTCCCGGTCACACGACGCATGTCTGTTGCCACCGCCGTGGCCACCCGACATCGACGGCAATCTGCTTCTCCTGCACTCGCCGTCTCCCTCACGATCTGCTCCTTGGTCAAACTGTACACAGGGCACGACAAGTCACGGGTAAGTGATGCTAAAAAAATTGCTCTAATCCTGTCTATTATAGTCTGTAGTGATTGCAGTTCTAATGCACGATTTAACCTTTATATGAACTAATAATAAAACCATGCATTTGGCTCCAAGAACAGAAAATTGTGTTAATCATGATTTACTTTGGAAAGAATATGGGTTTTATTTAAAAAAAAACTAAATACCATACTCCTGTTGAAGACCCATTTGACGTCAGCAGCGAGCTGCTACTCCAAGCTGCTGATGCCAAGTCTGGTGCCGTCACCGTGGCCACCTGACATCGACGACAATCTGCTTCTCTTGCCCTAGCCATCTCCCTCGCGATCTACTTCTCGGTTTGACTGTACAAAAGGGAGGACAAGTCACGGGTAAGTGATGCTCTACAAATTGCCCTAATCCTGTCAATATAGTATGTAGTGATTGCAGTTCTAATGCATGATTTTGCCCTAAATATGAACTGGTTTTACCTTTATATGAACTACAATTTTTGCCCTAAAAATATGATGTTGCTGGGTTTTATTTCAAGAAAAAAATCATATTCATTCCATAATACCCTTAAACCTTAATGACATATATTCCAAAGCCTAAGTACCGTACTCCTGTTGAAGTGTCGGGATGGTGACCAAAACGACAATTAAAGCTGCTGCAAAAGCACATGTTAGTGGTGCAACGAAGAAACAATCAGAGCAAAACACCTGACAAAGGAGCACAAACAGAGAAAATGATCAAAGTAAACAGAAGTCATAAATTAACAACCAGGCTTTGCCGCTGGAACAAAAATCTTAAAAAACCCACCAACAGAGGAACAAGATGCAGCACTACGCCAATTCCAACAGGAACTGGAACAACATGGAGGATGCACCTGCTACTTCCAGTGAGGAGTGGTTGCCTGCAGCATATCAAGTCTCCAGGAACGCCATAAGGAAATCCATGTATAGGAAATTAGTAGGGTGAAACCGAAGGTAGCAGTTTCATGTATAGATGCAAGCCTATGGAAAAATGGAAAATCATTGACAGGATTAGCATATGGTACATATAATGCTCATTTTATAGTATCTTTCAGGTTCAGTTCACAGTAACAAATGGATGCACGAAAATGGAAGCTTAACCATAGATGAACATGAGAGGTCTAAAATTGTTAGTGTAACCATTTTCAAGGTCACTGTTCCACTGAGATCTACATTGGTGACACTCAAAGACTCCTCTATAATCTTTCTCCATATATGGGTCCTGTTGAAATTAGTTGCATAAACTCTATTCCTGTACATATAAATATTCCCTCAGGCACTCTAAATTCCTTTATGAAACATCTAAGAAATTATGCCTATTAACTGGGAATATTTTTTTTTGCATTCAACAACCAAAGACTTGTGTTGATGAATGAAATTCTAGAACAATGTGAGCATATGAAATAGATTGATAGTATATAGCTCAAACAACATATGAAAAACACCCACAAGCTCATCATATAGCTCACCTGGGTGACAGCTAAATCCTAGAAGTGCCGTAAGAAAGATCCTTTTTTTCCAAAAATAGAAGTGCAGAAAGTAAAATTAGAAGGTTGGACACTCTAAATATAGGACTAGCAGTACCAAGAGGCCATTATAAATGAATTACCAACAAGCTCTGGCAACACGAGAAATAGATAAAATAAGCACTGGTAGCACGAGAAATAGATAAAACAACGAATTGGAAACAAGCAGGATCGGGATTGCAGGGTACTAACTATCATAATAACTAGAAATAGCAGGTAGGAGTACTGACTATCACAAATGAATTAAATAAAACTTCTAGAGTTCAGACTGGCATCATTAACCAACACAAAAACTAGCAGTGAACAAATTAAACTATGTAATGGCAGTGCATTCCGACTTGGGAGGAAGGAGAAGCCATATCTCGAAGTGAGGGTGCCGGGTGTGGCGCCATGGCG